AAAAAATCACCCACCTGGCGAGCACATAATCAGCGACCCACACGGGGATGCTCTCCCCTGTGACGGGGTTGACAGCCACGGCCCCAGTGGCCACGCCAGTCTTGTCCTTGGCCAGGTCCGTGCGCTCCAGGTCGCTCTTCTGCGCCGCTGCCGCCACGTACGCCTCAACTGCTGCCCTCTGTTCTTCTGCTGTGATGGACGCCACTAGCGGGTGCTCTGGCGCCAGGACAAGGTAGCTGCCGGGGCGGAGAAGAGAACGGGAAGGGGAGGAGAGGGGAAGGGGAAGGGAGTGCAGGTTTGGATTGGATTCAAGCCACGGCACCCCCGTCTTGTCCTTGCCCAGGTCTGTGCGCTCTAGATCGTTCTTCTGCGCCACCACCGCTGCCTCGTAGGCCTCTACCGCTGCTTGTTGGTCTGGCAATTTGATGGAGATGACTAGTCAGTGCTCAGGCGCCAGCACCAGGCAGCTGACGACCAAAGGGAGGGGGGCGAGGGCGGAGCCGAAGAAAGGGAGGAGAATGGCACCAAGGGAGGGTCAATCAGACATATCCAAGTGTTCCTCCCTTGGTCTCATTACACGGGTGGGAATGACATGCAAGTGTGCAAAAAAAGTCCTGCCTTAAGCCCAGGTCAAAAAGGCGAATGAGAAAAACCCACGTGGCGCCACAGATGGTGTCGGGCCGGGTGGTGAACACGCGCACGCTGGCGGAACCATCCGCCTCGTCAGCTATGGCAAACTCCACCTCGGCCCCCTCGGACCGTCCGATCCAGTTCCTCTGCATCTCCTTGACGCTCTCGGGCCAATCCAGGCCGTCCAAATCGTCCAGCAGGCGATCGGCGTACGCTGTGATGCGCAGCATCCACTGGCGCATGGGCTGGTGGAGAAAGGGGGGGGGAAGGGGAGGAAGGGAGGGGAGGGCGGGTGGGGAGGAAGAGGAGGGGAGGGGTTAGTGGGAAGCGTGATCTGGGGGAAATGGGAGCTGAAATAAGGGTGGGATGTGAGGTGATCGGCGTACGCTGTGATTCGCAGCATCCACTGGTGCATGGGCTTGTGAGGGGGGGGGGGGGGGGGGAGGGGAGAGGGGTGGTTTAGCTTAAGGGTGAGCTATATGTTGTGACGAGACGAGCAGCATCCACTGCCGCATGGGCTGGCAAGGTGGGGAAGAGGGGGGAGCGGGACAGCGGGAGGGTGTGCAGTACGAGGGGTGAAGGGGAGAGATGACAAGAGGTAACGAATGGTGGGTGGACTTTGAGGGCAGTTGGTTGGCATAGCTGAAAGTAATGTGCATTGTGCAGCATCCACTGTCAGTTTTTGCAGGCGTGTTTTTTAGAATTCTCAACAACCTGCAAAAACACCCCGCATTGTGCAGCATGCACTGTCAGTTTGGAGAGAAAGGGGGCAGATGGACGTGAAGGATTCTATCGTCCTCCCCTCTCATCCTCCTTATAACAGTGTGCCTGCCTGCCTGTTTACATTCCTCATACCGAATTGCCTGTTTACATTCCTCATACCGAATTGCCTGTTTACATTCCTTATAACGAATTGCCTGTTTACCTTCCTTATAACGGGGTGGCCGCCCCTCTCACTGACGCCGTCCACCACCTCCTCATTGGCCAGCACTGTGCCCAGCGCCGGACACCAGTTCACTGCCACGTCGGCCTGCAGGGGGTGAAAGAGGAACCGAGGCGGCATCAGAAACAGAGGGATGGGTTGAAAAGCAAGAAGTGATTCCATTGATAAAATCATCAAACTGGCGTGAAATGGTCCAAGTGCCAAGGAAAGCAAACTCTCGTGTCAGCGGCACCTGGCAGGCCAGCCTGGCAATGCAAAAGTAACCTGGTAGGCGAGCCCCCGGTTGAGGATCTGCAGGAAGATCCACTGCGTCCAGCGGTAGTAGTCAGGGTCCGTGGTGGACACCTCCCGCTGCCAGTCGTACGAGAAGCCCAGCGACTTGAGCTGTGGGGGCAAATCGGAAGGAATGCAAGTGGATGGGCGGGAAATGGGTCCGACTGGTAAGGATGGGGTCCAAACCGATTGGTAAGGAGAGGGTTCGTGGTGAATGGTAGGAAATACCTTTCTCCTAGGGGCCTCTTTAGCAAGGAGTGGGACTGTGGTGGTGGATGGTAGGGAAGGGCTATTTGAGAATTCTCATAAAGACTGTGCAGTGCAGGGCCAAGGACAGGTGAGTGGAGACGAAGGGGATGGGGAGACGAAGGGGATGGGGACGAGGAGAAGAAGCGGAACGAGCAAAGAGTGGCGTGCGTCTTGTGCTGTTACACGCTCGCACCCACCTGCAACCAACCGCCACACATTCACCTAGGATCACGAACTCACTCCTTCCCTCTCACCTGCGATCTGAACCGTCCAATGTTGCGCTCTGTTGTCACTCGGGGATGTGTGCCCGTCTGATGGCATGGGGAGCGGCAGTAGAAGCGCGGCAGAAAGGGACGACACGCAAGGTGGATAAAGGGAGAGGAAGTGGTGGGGAGAGAGGGGGAGAAGAGGGCAAAGCGACCAGGTCAAAGCGACCAGGGCAAAGCGACCAGGGCAAAGCGACCAGGGCAAAGCGACCAGGTCAAAGCGACCAGGGCAAAGCGACCAGGGCAACGCGACTAGGTCAAAGCGACCAGGGCAAAGCGACCAGGTCAAAGCGACAGGTCAAAGCGACCAGGGCAGAAGACAGCATCTGGAAAGCGAAAGCATGGGGAGATTGAGGTGCGCAGGAGTAATAAACGGCTGGGAAGGATCAACCGTTGACTGACGGAAAGCACATTGTTTTCAAGGCGCCTCGAGGCTGGCGGAAAGCACATTGTTTTCACGGCGCCTCAAAGCTGGCGGAAAGCACATTGTTGTCAAGGCGTCTCGAGGCTGGTGGAAAGCACATTGTTTTCAAGGCGCCTCAAGGCTGGCGGAAAACAAGCACGCTTCTATCACATTCTGTAGAGCACTACACACTGTCTAATGCTACACCCTATGCCAATGCTACGCTGCAGTCTCTTTGCCTCTACGCCGCCCTCCCTACCACCACCACCCCACCATCCCTCACCTCTATGGCGTACTGCTCGGCCGGCAGCCCGAAGGCGTCCCACCCACCTGTGCAGTGCAGCGCATCAAGGCGAGGACTTGATGCGCATGCACTCACTGCCGCACATTTATCCTCCCCCCCCCTTCGCCCCCCTGCCTCCCCATGCCGTCACACCTCTATGGCGTACTGCTCGGCGGGCAGCCCGAAGGCGTCCCACCCCATGGGGTGCAGCACGTTGAAGCCGCGCATGCGCTTGTACCGCGCCATGATGTCCGTCGCCGTGTACCCCTCAGGGTGCCCCACGTGGAGCCCTGCTCCACTGCAGGGATGCGTGGGAGGAAATGAGAGGGAAAGTGGGTAGTTAAGGCACATGAGTTCGGCACGTGGAAGCCCCGCATGCGCTTGTACCGCGCCATGATGTCCGTCGCGGTGTACCCCTCAGGGTGGGTGCCCCACGTGGAGCCCCGCTCCACTGGAGAGAGAGGGGGGAAGGAGAGATGGGGTGGGAGAGATGAGGGGATAAGTAGAGAGTGTGGAAAGTGGGCCTGAGGCGGGTGGGGGGAGGGGCAGACTGAAGAGCAACCTGGGCTTTTCCATGGCGGCGTCCACTCTGCTCCCTCCCGAGCCTGCTCTACTCCAGGCCTACCACACTCCCAGCGTACACCATTCCGAGCCTGCTCTACTCCAGCCCTCCTCAATTCCAAGCCTACATTCCGAACCTGGGGTACGGGAACATGTCGAGCACGTAGTATTTCGGCTTGCTCGTGTCCACGTCATCGGGTGTTCGGAACGTCTGCCTCTCCTCCCAGTACGCCTGCCACTTGCCCTCGATCTCCGTGAACGGGTAGGCGGACGACTGCCGGCTACGCGGCTGCGCTGACGCTCCGTTCGCCTGCCCTGCCACGTCAGCACCAGCTGGCGGCGGTGCTGCGGGAGCGACTGCTGTCTCTACTGCCGTACTGCTGCTGTTACTGCTGCCGTCGCTAGCGGTGCTGCTTGCGGCGGCGGCGCAAATGCGGGTGGTTCGGCTGGTAGCACCCGACGAGTGACTTCTTGACGCGTGGGTGAATGTGGACCGTAGAGATGACAATCGGAGGGACGAGATCGACGCGGAGGACGATTTAGACCAGAAAGGCGAGGACAACGAGACGCATCCATACGGTTGGCTGAAACGGCTCGCCGCTCGAAGGGGCCTGGGCTCGCTTCTCGGCACGCCGTTGGAACGATCTCCGACGGAAAGGGCGGCGCTGCGAGGCCGGGTGAGAGCGCGAGGGGTGAAGGGCGCGCTGGGAGCCATGGAGCCCGCGTATCGGCGGATCAGGCCTCGGCTCGACGCGGCCGCGGGCGACGCGAGGAGCTCCCGAGGGATCGGAATGCACGGGCTCAGCAGCCCGCACGCCATCGCGGCTCGTGCGGTGCGAGGTCGCGGCCGGTTCAGTGGAAGCACGTAAGAACTATGGCGGCACTCACCCCTGAATGCGACAGGTCAGTCTCAGAGACAGCCGATCAGCTGGTGTGGGCTGCGTGTTTGCTTGTCGCAGCTGTTCTGGCACAAGGAGAAAAGCGACACTTTCTAGGTCGCGGCGACGTGGCAAAACCCTCAGCCACCAATCAGACGCGCCTCATCCATTCCGGCTGGTTACCGCAACACTTGTTTCGTTTGTCAATCCAACAGTGTTATGAATGGAACTCCCGAGTAGCGCGGAGGGCAATGGCGAAAGTGTGAACGAGTGAATGACAATAAAATGAAAGGCAACACAATATAGAGGAAGCCTAGGGCGATCCTGGACGTAGGATCGGAAGGTACGGGAAAAGTATCGAAGGGCCTCGATGTGTCGTAACGAGGTCCGGAAAGGCCCAGGAGGCCCGAACTGAAAGGTTTGGAACCCCACAGAGTCGTACGCTCTGTAGCAAGCCTCAGTAAGGAATTACTAATTCCTTACACTGGCTAAAAACTCCTTATGCGGGCTGTCGTTACTTGCTCACATCACATCACATGCGACAACTTGCTCTTAGGCCTACAATTTGCCCTCCTTTGGAGTCTCCTTCGTTCTTATTCAGTCCAAGATACACATGATCGCTGCACATTTTGTACAAGTATGGATAGCGTGCATCCAACATGGTACACCCTAAAAGCTATGGATTGAGTTCTGATCCATGCCTAGCGAGGAACAAGCCGGTTGAGCTGGGACTCAAACTCATCCACTTTGCGGCCCAATTCCTTGCTGTGAGGCACAACCAAGCATACCAGGAAAAAGTAAGGACCATTATAACTAAGAGAAAAGGGGTGACACTAGAGGGAAGTTCGGGGGAGAAGGACTCACACTTGGGCAGTGAGCTGTGGCAGTTGTTGCATTTCCTCGTTCATCCTGCATGCCACACAGCGCAAACGTTGAAAGAGCTAGATGCAGAGACATGAGAGAGTTCCCCCGCACGTGGAAGGCGAGATGCAGCTGGGGTGGGTGTGACCCTCTGTGTCGCATGCTCGCCTCAAGCATGTGCTCGCCTCAAGCATGTGCTCGCCTCAAGCATGTGCTCACCTCATGCATGCTCGCCTCATGCATGCTCACCTCATGCATGCTCGCCTCATGCATGCTCACCTCATGCATGTGCTCACCTCAAGCATCCTCATCCCATGCATGTGCTCACCTCATGCACGCATTGATGAACCTCATTCCTCTGTTGGCCGCCTCCATTGCTGCCACACACGGCAAGACGGGACGCACACAAGTGAATAGAGAACTTAATTGCGGAGAGGGGGCAGGGCTGGCATGCAGGAGGACTCAAGAAACATGGAGAACAAGCATCGACTAACAGACCGCCAAGCCTCGTCTCGTACCCACATCTCACGCCATGTGTTGACTCATGCATTGATCCACCCACCCACCCGCCCGCCCTCCCACCTGCGCCCTGCAGTCGTTTCGAAGCATCTCTCTCCAGCTCCACATGCGCCACTGTGTTGCTCGCGACCTACACGAGGGTGCCAGTGCCACGTGGTGCGATGACACACAACAGGAGCCATGGAGCTGGCAAAGTGAGACTCACAAAGGGGCCTGCGGGATCCCAGGTGACCATCGCGATAATACCCTTATTGAATGACGGGCATACACACCTCTTTAAGATGCTTTGAGTCGCCTCTTTTGGATGAGGGCATTCGCACCTCTTTAAGATGGGCTCTCAGCGCATCCAAGAGTGAGTTCACAGCGTCGGCCGCACGAAGCGCGCTTCGTTCCGCGTCGTTCAGCACCTGCTGGCGGACCCGCAGACACGCAAGAGAATGAGCCGCAACTGGACGCCAGAGGGTTTCTTAGGCGCCTCAAAACATGTAACTGGACGCCAGAGTAGCAGTAGACGGCGTCAGAACGTCAGCTAACAAAGCGTGACTGGACAACTGGTGATAAGAACGAAAGGTGGAAAATAATCACCTCGAGCATTCCATCGGGTGACTGTAACGAGGGTGGTTCTTGTGCTGCGGCTGAGACGGTGCGGTCACTTTCCATACCACAGTCCGAGATCGAAACCTAACGGAAGGTGCGAATCAGAAGCCTTCTACGCGCAGTCCCGCGTAGCTTCATGAGTTGCGCATACCCGCGCGCGCTCGGCTGTGGTTCACCAATGATTGGTGTGGCGTCCGAGGAATAGTGCTTGCCATGGGGGGGGGCATGGCGTTTCGAAAATGTGCCCCTTCGAAATTGCACCAAAAGATTTGGCTTGAAACGAAAACGGGTTACCATCTGTCCTTGTTGCGGCTATTTCCCGATTCGCGAAGTTCGGGGGAACGAAGTACACGAAAATGTCACGATCTCTTTCGGTGGGTCACGCGGGCGGAACACCGAAATTGAAGGCGAAAATATGGTTGAGAGCCGTTACAGCTGCGGTCGTTGCGAACTCACATCGCGTCGCATCAGAGATTTTGCCTTCCAGAATGCAGGGACGTGGATGACCCAGCGCGCATCCTATTGGTGACGACAGTACGCGAAATTAACTCCCTGCATTTGCGAACATCTCGTGGCCACTCCTTCACGAGGCTACGACTTCAGAGTACAGTCGCCAAGCATCGGCGCTTTCAGGGCCTGCGACAACCACTCTTGGAGACTACTCACCTTAGAACTGAAACAGCCAGCGCTAGTATCCCCCAATGCCAGTAGGCGTAGGTCCTACGTGAGCTGCGAGAGTTTTGTGTAGGGAGCCGTGGCATTTGATATTGTCGCTGCCGCATTCTGTGCGACCTCGCGTGGAGCCTTGAGACTCGAGACCGTTATTTCCGTTTCGCGGCAAGAAGGCACCACTGAGGCACGACCGCTATGAGAGCGCCGCTAGGGCACCACCGCTGTGCACATTTCTTCTAATTAGACGACCGATCATTCCCATTGCCGCTCGTGCGGGTCGTGGGCTTCCGAGTCGACTCAAAAGCACACTGCCGAACGCTTTTATCTCTAGCTAGACGGGCGATACCGCAGGGTGTTTTTTACTACACCGCTAGGGCACCGCTGCGGAACGCATTTCTTCTACCTAGGCGATCGATATTTGCCATTACCGCTCGCCCAGGTCGTCGCAGGGCAGCTGCGCGCCAGTAGCTTCATAAAACGTCTAAAAAGGCCGTCGTTTCGCGCGCGCGCGTCGCAATGGCGGTCCTGACGTCGCCGCCCGCCAGCCTGCCGTACGTGGTGGCTTTAAACTGCATGGAGGGCTGCCACGCGCAAGCCGAGGCGCTCGCGGACGTGTGCGTCCTCGAGAATGTCGGGCTCAGCGAGGGCATGCTCGACAAGCTGGAGCGCGCTGACGTGGTGCTCGTCCATTCGCTGCATTACCTCCCGCGCGCGGCCCAGCGGAAACTCTCCGCGTCGCAGTTAATTTTATGTCTAGGGTCGTCTGCTGACACGCGGCCCGTGGAGTCGTCGCTGGCGGAGGAGCTCGGCCTGCGATTGGTCCACGTGGACGTGCCGCGCACGGACGAGGTCGCGGACAGCGTGATGGCCTTAATGCTCGGGCTGCTCCGCCGCACGCACGTTCTCGCGGCGCAGGTAAGGCGCGCCGACGCACGCACGTGCGCACTCTGTTCTTGCTTCTCCCTCACATCTGTGTATATTTAAGACTTCTTTCATTCAATATACCCCCCCTCCCGCCTCCCCCACCCCCTCACCTCCCCCCTGCGCTCCTTCCCCCCAGGGCTGCACGAGCGCGAGCTGGTTCGCGGGGTTCAAGGGCGTGTCACGTGTGGAAAGGGTAGATGGCTCCGCACTCCGCGTACTCCCCGCACTCCCCGCACTCTTCCCCCCTTGCGCTTCCCCCACCCCCCCAGGGCTGCACGAGCGCGAGCTGGTTCGCGGGGTTCAAGGGCGCGTGGCAGGGCATGCGGCGGCTGCGCGGCATGGTGCTGGGGCTCGTCGGCGCCAACGCCGCCGCGCGCGCCGTTGCGCGGAGAGCCGCCGTGTTCGGCATGCGCGTGGTGTACTGCGACCCAGAGGGGGTGAGTTAGCTGATAGGTGGGGTAATAAGGACCTAACAATAAGAGCCGCCGTGCTTGGCATGTGGCATGCGCGTGGTGTACTGCGACCTGGAGGGGGTGAGTTAAGGAGGGGCATAAGAAGGGACAAGCCTCTAACATTAAGTCGGTACGGAGGCATACTGCGACCCGGAGGGGGTAAGTCAGGTAGTTGGTTCTAGTATGGGGAGGGTGGTGGGGGGGAGGGGGGAACATGGGCCCTCACCTTGTCCCCCCACCCCTCCTTCCCCCCCTTCCCCCTCCCCCCGTCCCCATGCCCTCAGGGGTGTTGGAATCCAAGCAGACATGTACATCTTTGAGTCGACTCAAAAATCGACTCATTACACACCAAGCAGGCAGGCGTGTACATCATTGTGTCCCCACTCCCTCTCACCCCCGCAGGAGCTGCAGCGGTCGCCGAGGGCGGAGGCGCTGATGAGGGCGGTGGGGGAGGACAGAGGCACGGTGGAGGGCGTGCTGGGAGATCGACACATGCATTCCTTTTACTCCCCTTCACTTCCCGTTACTCCCCTTAACTTCCCTTAACTTCCCTTTACTCCCCTTTACTCCCCTTTACTCCCCTTAACTTCCCTTTACTCCCCTTTACTCCCCTTTACTCCCCTTTACTCCCCTTTACTCCCCTTTACTCCCCTTCACTTCCCCCTCACGTCTGCAGGAGCTGCAGCGGTCGCCGAGGGCGGAGGCGCTGATGCGGGCGGTGGGGGAGGACAGGGGCACGGTGGAGGGCGTGCTGGGGGCGAGTGACGTGGTGTCGCTCCACGTGGCGCTCACTGATTCGACGCTGCACCTCATCAATGACGGCACCGCCAAGCACTTCAAGAAAGGTCGGCAGGAGGGAAGTAGGCGAACAGGAGGGAGGGAGGGAGGGAGGGAGGGAGGGAGGGAGGGAGGGAGGGAGGGAGGGAGGGAGGGAGGGAGGGAGGGAGGGAGGGAGGGAGGGAGGGAGGGAGGGAGGGAGGGAGGGAGGGAGGGAGGGAGGGAGGGAGGGAGGGAGGGAGGGAGGGAGGGAGGGAGGGAGGGAGGGAGGGAGGGAGGGAGGGAGGGAGGGAGGGAGGGAGGGAGGGAGGGAGGGAGGGAGGGAGGGAGGGAGGGAGGGAGGGAGGGAGGGAGGGAGGGAGGGAGGGAGGGAGGGAGGGAGGGAGGGAGGGAGGGAGGGAGGGATTTGTGTGGTGACGATTTAAGTTGGATTTGTGTGGTGACGATTGGGGTGAGAGTGGAGGTTAATTAGTGAAGGTCTTGGCACCTCATCAGCAGGGACATTGGCTTGGGTTGGGGGGAGGCAAGTTGGCAACAGTTGAGCTGATCGGTGGCGGCCCGAGTTGCCAGGGGCAGAGCATCGTTCGGAGAAACATAGCGCCCCCCCGCGCGCCCCTGCACGCCCCCCCCCCCCTTTTCCCCCCTCCCCCCCTCCCACCACCAGGCGCCATGCTGATCTACGCCAGCAGCTGCCACCTGGTGAGCGACAGAGTGGTGAAGAGAGCAATAACCCCAAGCATTGTCTCCCTCTGTTCCCTCCACCTTCCACAACCAGGCGCCATGCTGATCAACGCCAGCAGCTGCCATCTAGTGAGCGACAGCACGGTGAGAAGCAGGCACCAACGCCAAGAGCGCACCAACCTCACACCCTCGCCTCTCCGTCTCTCTGTCTCCCACACCTCCTTTCCCCCCCTTCCCCGCCAGGCGCCATGCTGATCAACGCCAGCAGCTGCCACCTGGTGAGCGACAGTGCGGTGAAGCGCGCACTCAACAGCGGGCGGCTGGGCAGCTGCGGGCTGGATGGCGTGGAGGGCAACCAGTGGCTGGAGGCGTGGGTGAGTGGTGAATGACTGAGAGGTGTGGAGAGGTGCTGGGTGAGTAGCAAATAAGTGAGGGCTGTGAGGTCAAGAGTGAAGGATAAGAGAGGGCTATGAGGTCAAGGAGTGAAGGATAAGAGAGGGCTGTGATTCATGGATGCTCATATGGCGGCTCTCAGCACCGGGCGGCTGGGACGCTGTGGCCTGGATGGCGTGGTGGGGAACCTTTGGCTGGAGGCATGATGGGCGAGTGGTGGCTGGCTGGGGCTATTGATGGGTGGTGATTGGGTAGGTGAATGGGATGGGTGTGGGTGTGGCTAACAGCGATGGGCGTGGATCAGCTGACCGTGCTAAACAGCACTCTAAGCACTCTAAGCATTCTAAGCATTCTAAGCATTCTAAAAAGAATCTTCAGAGACAGTCAACCCTCCACTGCACCTTCACCTTCCCCCTGCTCCTCAATCCCACCCCCACCTCGCAGGTTCGGGAGTTCCCGAACGTCCTCATCTTGCCTCGCAGCGCCGACTACAGCCAGGAGGTTTGGGAGGCACTCCAAGCCAAGGCTGTGGCGGTGGTTCGGGCGTTCCTAACCTCAGGAAAGGTGCCGGAGGAGCTAGTGCTGGATGAGTCATTCGGGGGGGTTGAGGGGGAGGAAGAGGAGGAGGAGGAGGAGGCACAATGGCAAGTGCTGCATGCGCTGTTCCCCTCTGCTGGTGCTGCTGGTGCCGGTGCTGGTGCTGCTGGTGCTGCTGCCAATGGTGGTGATGGCGGTGGTGGGAGTGGGGTTAAAAAAGGGGGAAGGACTTCGGGCGGGGGAGGACGAGTGAGTGAGGACTCGAGGAGAAGTAGTGGCAATGGGGGCAAGAGTGCGTCTGGAGGGGCGAGGGGAGTGGGGGAAGGAGGAGGCGGAACACAGACAGATGCGCTAGCAGCTGCTGCTGATAAGGTGGACCCTCTCCCGCCCTACCCTCTTCTCTCGTCGCTCTTCTAGCCCTTCTGCTCTCACCCCACCCTCTCACCCCACCCTCTCCCCTCCCTTCTCTCCTCTTCTCCGCTGATGCCTCCTCCCACATGCTTGCTTTCCCTGTTCAAAACCCTTCATCATTCTCCCCTTCATCCTCATTTTCTTCCCTCTCCCCCCTCTTCCTTCCCCCCACCATGCTCCGATTTCAGCTGCTCCCACACTGCCCCTTGCACGACGGCATGCTAGTGGCCCAGCAGCCCCTCTCCTCCTTCCCCACCTACCCAATTCTTCCCCCACCCCTGCTTCCCACTTCCTACTTCTTGCTTCCCCCTGTCCTCATTCCCCCAGCTCCTCCCAGACTGCCCCCTGCAGGACAGCATGCTGGTGGCCCTGCAGCCACTCTCCCCCTTCCCTCCCCCTACTCCTGCCCATTTTTTTCCCCCAATGCCCTACTCTTTCCCCCTTCCCCCCCAATTCGCTTCCCCCACCCCTCCAGCTGCTCCCGGACTGCCCCCTGCAGGACGGCATGCTAGTGGCGCTGCAGCCGCTCTCCTCCGCCTCCGCCACCTCCTCCTCCTCCACGCTCTCCCTCCCAGCAGCCTTCGCAGCAGCCTTCCCCAAGGCCCTCTTCGCAGCCAAGCGCCGCGACGGTGGCGCCTCATGGCGATTCGCCCCTGTGGAGGGGATATCCACCCAGCATCCAAGCGTGCAGTTTGTGATCGTGTGCGACAAGGACCTGCTGGGGTGCCGGTCGGTGTTTGCGGGCGGCAAGTTCCTGCAGGCGTCAGAAGCGGGCGATCTGCTGCTGGTGAACGACGATCTTGATCTTGCTGAGAGCTGGTTCTTCACCACCGTCTCACACCACTCCAACGGCCTAGCTCTCTCGCTTACTAATGCCCTGCATTCACATGTAAGCTCCATCCCTCTCTGTTGCAAGCTTTCCCTTCCGCCCGCCCTGCTGTGCGAGTGCCGGAGGCGGGTGATCTGCTGCTGGTGAACGACCTTGCTGAGAGAGCTGGTTCTTCACAACAATCTCATGCCGCCACTCCACCAGCCTCGCGCACTCTCACTCACCAGCGCCCTCCAGCAGTGCCCTCCCCTCAGCAGCAAGCACTCTCTTCCTTCACACGCTGCGGCTTCTTGTTACATTCCCTCCAATGCTGCATGCTTGCGGTCGCGGTGCTAACTCGCTGTTTGCTGTACATCCCTCCCCACCCCTCTACACCCACCTGCTCCTCTGTTTCTCCTGACGAGCCCAGGTGGAGCTTCAGGTGCTCGTTCATGTTTTGAGTGGGGGATGATGAACAGCCACAGACAACAAAGGCAGCAACAGCAGCAGCAGCAGCAGCAGCAGCAGCAGCTAAAAGAGATGCCTGAAGCATCAGCTGAAGCTAGTGCTGGGGCACCTAAATCTGGATCCGTCTGCTGTTTGTCGGCCTCGTAACCTGCAGCTCTAACCGTACTCGATGCACAAGTGTGCAGCGCTGTGTTCACATCACATCGCACACCTAATTTATTCGAGTGCTTCCAATTGTTGCGACTTGCAAGGAAGCCTGTTTTTGGCCTGTTTTTTATTCACTGTGTATAAGACTTCCTTTTGTCCAGTGCATACAACTTGCCCAAAGCCTGAGGGAGGTCCAAATGCAGGACTGCTAAGCAATGCCTGTAAATCAGGTTCAGATTAGGTTCAGATTAGGATGCTATGCTATGCATACAACATAGCCAGTACATAGACAGTACAGAATGAAGGGGCTTTGTCTATGCAAATGCCTGAGGGCTCCAGATGCAGCTCGCTTCAGGTAGACCCGTGAACTTCATGACCCACATCTCCTCTCCTCTCATACACCTTGAAAGCTGCGATCGCTGGTGAGATTGCTGTACTGGTACGACCAAGGGGCACTTCAGAAGGGGCATCTGATGGGTTTTGTTGGAGTAAACCTTACATCAGGAATGCATCAACGATAACTCAGTCGATAACAGGTTTGACGTCCCAGATCTACGCATACTCGACTTGATGGTCCGGGTGCTTGTGAGCTGTCTATTTATAGTGGCCAAAGAAAGCTTAGAAAGGCCGGGTGATGGGTTCAACATCCCAGATCTCCTCCGCATACTCCTTAATGGTTCGGTCGCTCGTGAACCGCCCGCACCCAGCCGTGCTGCTGATGCTCATGCGCGTCCACTTGGGCACATCCACGTAGGTGGCATCGATGGCAGCCTGCAAGGGGCATGGGAAGAGAAGGGGGGGTTGCACACAGAGGAGGAGGGAAGGGTGAGTTGCCCCCAGCCGTGCTGCTGATGCTCATGCGCGTCCACTTGGGCACGTCCACATACGTTGCATCGATGGCAGCCTGCAAGGGGTTGGGTAGAGTTGATGGGAGGTTTGGTGGAAAGGGGCGGGGGAAGGGGGCGGGGGGGTGGTTGAGTTGCACCCAGGAGTGCTGCTGATGCTCATGCGCGCACACTTGGGCACGTCCACATACGTTGCATCGATGGCAGCCTTCAGTGGATGAGAGGGTGAGGGGATAAGGGGGGGTTTCCAACAATTTTAGGGTGGAGCGATTTGAGAGGAGGAATCAGAAGAATCTTTGGTATGAGGGATAGAAGAGCAGGATGGAGTGGAGAGCACAGGAGAGAGGGGAGACCAAGGAAAGCGAGAGGAGAGAGCAAGGAAGAGAGGGGGCAGCAGGCAGGCACCTGAGCTTGCAGGTAGGTGGGGAAGTCATTGGCGAGCAGATAGTAGTCGTTGCCTGGGCCGTCAATGGAGTCCACGAGCGGCGCAAAGAACTCCGTCCACCCAAAGTACCCGCTGCGAATCATGCTGTTAGGGGGGGAAGGGGAGGGGGTGAGGGAAGTCGACTGTGAGAGATGAGCAAGGAAAGGAGAAAGAAAGGCTAAGAATAAGGGGGAGCGGGATGAGAAAGGAGGCAGAAACGAGATGAGGACGGGATAGGCAGAGGTGAGACAGGAGGACGTGAGGGGAGTCAAGAAAAGAGTAGCTGCTTTTTTGGTGTGAGTGTGACATGGCACGAATTTTAAGAATGCTACTGCTTGTTGATCCAAGTGCTGAAAGGGGACCAGATAGCAGGGCAGCACCACACCACCACATGGCAGTGGCACGGCAGCGGCACGGAAACGGCACAGCAGCGGCACGGCAATGTGAGTGAAGTTGTGGCGGGGTGTGAATGTGCGCCTCTCCTCCCTCATACCATCATCACACCACCACACCATTACACCACCACACCGCCACACCAGAGCAGCACAGCGTTGCAGCAACTCAAGCCACAGACGCACCCCACGACGCGAGTGAAGCTGCGTCAGGGAGTGAAGCTGCGTCAGGGAGTGAATGTGCGCCTCTGCGCCCTCATACCGTTACACCATTGTAGCACCGCAGCACGGCGTTTCAGAAAAGACAGCACAAGGCACCGCACAGCATGGCGGCAGCGCTCACCCCACGACGCGAGTGAAGTTGCGGCAGGGCGTGAAGGTGCGCCGCTCCTCCCTCAGCCGCGGCACGTCCTTTGTCTCCGCACCAAACACAAACTGTGGTGGAAGGTGTTGAGAGGCGTTGAGAGGTGTTGAGAGGTGTTGAGAGCCGCGGCAGGTTTGAGGAGCAGATAAGATGAGAGCAACGCATCCAATATCCCAGAACTTTGTGCCAAAACTGTAGTGATCATGTGCGTTGTATAAGACTGCGGAATACTATACTGCACAGTCAGTGTACTGCACTATGCACTCGTGTCCTGTAGAAAGGATAAAACACACCTGCCATTATGAATCATGATTATACTGTGTGGCATTGGCATGGCAATCATTGTACCATGTCGCACAGTCATGGCATTGCATGGCCACATGGCATACCATGGTATGCAGAGCACATACAAGTTTGCCATGTGACAAACAGCCATGTTCCCGTGACATGGCATGTCGCTATAGCAGACTTACTGGCTATGGTATGCATAACACACTTGCCATGATGCGCCATGTGTCCATGACAGGCAGGTCACCATAGCATGCTTGCAAGGAACAGCATGTGAGCATACCACGTTCCCATGTGATGGCATGTGAGCCTACTGCTTTTTTGTGACATGGAAAGCCGGCATACCATGCTTTCAGGTCAAGGCATGGCACCATGGCACACGAAGGCACAGCATGTGCGCGTACCATGTTCTCAGGGCCCATCTCCTCTCGGATATCCCGGGTGGCGCCATCCAGATTGCCCAGAAAGAAGGAGGCATCCGCTCATCGCAAACGTGGCAGCTACCATGTTATCACAGCACAGGCCAGCGGACCACCATGCCAGCTTACCATGTTCTCAGGGCCAATCTCCTCTCGGATCTCCCGCGTGGCGCCGTCCAGAGTGCCTAGAATGAGGCACCCGTTCATCGCAAACTTCATGTTGCTTGTGCCTGATGCCTCGTTGCCTGCCGTGCTGCCAGGGGGTATAGTGTGGTGTGGATGTCAGTGGTCAGGGGGAGGCATTAATACTACAGGCAGGGGAACACGTGGCACTGTTCATCGCAAACTTCATGTTGCTCGTTCGTGCCTGATGCCTCATTGCCCGTGGTGCTGCCAGGGGGGATGCGGAGAGGGCATTCAGGGGAAGAAGGGGCAACTGCTCATCGCAAGATTAAAAACATCTTGCTCATGTCCGACGCCTTGTTACCCGCCGAGCTAGCATGGGGTATGGGACGGATGCGGGGTAATGGGTGATGATGGCATGGCAGTCACCTAATGTGATGTGATGTGATGTAAGCGCCACCTGGTGCGTTACAGCAGCCACCTGACATGCTGTGACTCACCTGATGCGTCGCAACAATCACCTGGTGCGTCGACATAATCACCTGATTTGCTGCGATATTCACCTGATGTGTTGCGACAGGTCGCTGGCAGGGATGATGAGCTCAGCCAGCGAGACGTTGTAGTCGGGAATGAACACCTGGCAGTCAGTGGATGGGGATGGGGATGGGGAGGAGAACCCCAAGCATGTGAGGGGAAATGCATCGGAGAATAGCCAGGCGCTTAGGTGCGTGCATCCGACAGAGTAAGAGCAAGCATAGATCCATCTTGACCCACCAGTCTGAGCAGTTCGACCACGTCCTCCTTCTTTTGAACAAGTCGCAAACCACAGCGACGAGCTTCCACCATCTTCCCATGTTGCAAGGGCCCATAACACACAGGTAGAATCGTCATTCACCCATAAGCTTGAGAGCAGGTCGCCCACATCCTCGTCGTTGTTGATGACCTCGCTGACAAGCGCTGATAAGCTTCACAATCTTCCCACCCACGGTTCCGTCCGGTGCGCACAGCATGCACAAGAAGCAGGTGCACTCACCAGCTTGAGCAGGTCGCCCACGTCCTCGTCGTTGTTGATGACCTCGCTCACAGCGCTGATGAGCTTCACAATCTTCTTCGCCAGCTCGTACCCCGGCGCCGCCTTGCCGCCCAGCAGACACACCCGCGGCACCACGCGCTTGCGATCCTCCGCACTCATCTTCTGCTCGACCCAGCCGTTGGTGGGGGAGGGGGGGGGGGGGGGAGAGAGAAGAGGAGGGGCAGAGGCAGGGCAGATAGGGGCGAGCGAACGAGGGGTTGAGCTGGCAGTGATGCTCAGGTCCTTCAGCAGGCACACCTGGCAGGGAGAATGAAAAGATAAAATCGACATTCACAAATCGAATGAAGAAGAATGTTTCTTCTCTCGTTCCCTGGCAACAAGCCAGGTTGTGCATGAGATGAGCCCACGAGAGAACTCACCTTGATGCAGTCGTAGCGGTGGATGATGCCCATGACGTTGAGAAGTTGGCGCTTGTACTCGTGGATGCGCTTCACTTGCACATCGAACATGGCGTCGATGCTCACCTGGGGAAGGGGACGGGATGGGAAGGGGCGGGGACCGGGAGGGGAAGGGGAGGGGACCGGGAGGGGAAGGGAGGGGGGAGGGAAGGGATGGGGGGGCGAGAGAGGAGGAGAGGGGGCTTGTACTCGCATATGTGCTTGACTCGTGCGCCAAACACGTTGCCGATGCTCGCCTTTTGACTGGATTCAGAGTACTGATGCTACGGACCAGGCAACATTGACCTAAGCTGGAGACGGGGGGTGGGGGGGTGGTGGAGAAGACTAAAAAAAAAACTGACTAGCAGCAGAGTAGCAACCGACTAGCGGCAGAGTAGCAGCCGACTAGCAGCAGAGTAGCAGCCGACTAGCAGCAGAGTAGCAGCCGACTAGCAGCAGAGTAGCAGCCAACTAGCAGCAGAGTAGCAGCCGACTAGCAGCAGAGTAGCAGCCGACTAGCAGCAGAGTAGCAGCCGACTAGCAGCAGAGTAGCAGCCAGAAGAAAAGGCCGAGTGAAACTTTTGGACGACCATGACCCAAGGACGTGGAAGACAACAACTTGCCAGCTGTTGCCTACTGATCAGCTTACCTTGACCCCTGATATCCCTTCGATGTATGCTGCCAGACGCGCCTTGTTCTGCCTGCGAACCTGGTGATGTCGACATGCACGCATACACGCATGCACGAGCACACACCGACAGACATGCACACACACATGCATGCATGAGCATGCACCGACAGACATGTACTACACACACATGCATGCATGAGCATGCACCGACAGACATGAGCACACATACACGCGTGCATGCGCACGCAGCGACAGACATGTACACACACATGCATGCATGAGCACAGACCGACAGAAATTTACACACACATACATGCACGCGCACACACCAACACACATACAGACATGCAGACATGCAGACATGCACGCAGAAGCATGGCGGCACAGAGGCGCCGAAGCACATATCAGCATGTGAAACAACTGGTCTGCACACGAATGGCAAAGCTCACACCAAGCCCACCCATACAGGTGGGAGATCAACGGGGAGAACACATTCACAGCCTAGTGCAGCACTGTGGTGGTAGTGAACAATGCACATTGCACGCTGCAAGGTAACGCCTGGGCAAAAAAGAAATCAATAAAGTAAGCCGAATCAACCCCTGAAGGATAAAGCATTTGCATCTACTGCGGCTGCAGCACCCCTACCTGCATCCGCAGCAGCCACAGCACCCCTACCACTGGGCCCCTACCTACCTGCATCCACTGCGTCTGCAGCAGCGGGTCGTCCACGTGCTCCTTGAGTCCCGCCACGAGGTCCAGGTTGGTGATCCACGACTCCGTGCCCAGCCACTTGGTCAGAATCGCCGCCAGCCCTGGGTTGCAGAACGCCAGCCACCGACGCTGAGCGGGGAGATGGAGAGCGTGGGGAGCGAGAGGGGATAGAGAAGAGGGACGAGCTCGTGGGGACGGCGCGAAGAGGGAGGAAGGATGGGCGCGGCGCCATCTGAGTCAAGCTAGGCATGCCCGACAGCGATTGGCACGCCACTCTGTGATGGAACGACAATAGTGCTGGGCCGGGCAGACAGCTGTACCTGGACGACAGTGGTGCCGGGCAGACAGCTGTACCTGGACGACAATGGTGCCGGGCAGACAGCTGTACCCGGCGACAATGGTGCCGGGCAGACAGCTGTACCTGGACGACAACGGTGCCGGGCAGACAGCTGTACCTGGACGACAGTGGTGCCGGGCAGACAGCAGTGATGGGTACACCACCAAGGCAGGGTCTCCTGTGGCTCACCTGGGTGACACCGTTTGTCTTGTTCTGGAACTTGTGCGGCCAGATGTCATAGAAGTCCTGCAGGAGGGCGGCGAGGAGGCACGGTTGAGCAACACACCCACACGTGCTCATACACAAAAACCAGATTGTTACCGCGCGCATGCAATACTAGCATTGCAGATACAACTCAGATACGAATCTCCAAACAGGCATTGCACAGTTGTATCCATCCATCCATCCATCCATCCATCCAGCCAGCCAGCCAGCATCCATGCCCTCTGCTCTCTTCTGCCATTCTCTCTCCTCCCATCTCTCTCTGCTCTCACCTCGAAAATAGTGGAATGAGGCACGGATCTCATGCATCTCGGTCAGTATGGATCTCTTTCGCGCACAGGGGCGAGCACGCATGCATGCACGGGCGTAAGCCCCGCCATTCATGCTCTCTGTGCGTATTGAGTCGATGTTTTAGTCGACTCATTAAAACGACTCATTACGCACCATTCATGCTCTCTGTGTGCAATGAGTCGATGTTTGAGTCGACTCATTACGCACCATTCATGCTCTCTGTGTGTAATGAGTCGATGTTTGAGTCGACTCATTACAACGACTCATTACGCACCATTCATGCTCTCTGTGCCCACCTTGAAGAGCGTGTTCTGGATGAGGTCGGTGTGGATCTGGGACACGCCGTTGATGGTGTGGCACGTCACCACTGCCAGCGTTGCCATGCGGATGCTCTGGGGAGGAGGGGGCAAGGAGGGGGAAGGAGATGTGAGAGGAAGGATGGAACACTTAGCAACCAGCCATGGTATGGCATGTCCATACTGCCAGTGTCGCCAGCCATGGTGTGGCAGAACACCTTGTGTGCGCCCTCCTCACCTTGTGAGCGCCCTCTTCTCCCCCCACCCACCTTGTGCGCGCCCTCCTCTCCCCACCTTGTGCGCGCCCTCCTCTCCCCACCTTGTGCGCGCCCTCCTCTCCCCACCTTGTGCGCGCCCTCCTCGTCTCACCTTGTGAGCGCCCTCCTCGATGATGGACATGCGGGAGAGGCGGTCGTAGTCGTTGCCAATGCGCTTCTTCAGGTCCACGATGAAGTTGTGGTTGATGTCGTACATGATCTGGGGGGGAAGCGGGGGTGGGAGAAAAGAGTTGGGCAAGGGGGAAATTGTGATTTGAAACATCTCAAATGACCAAGTTTGTGGTTGATGTCGCACACAATCCCGGGGTCAGTGGGCAGCCGGCGGGCGTTGGGGAGGGGGGGAGGGGGGAGGGGAAAGGGAGAAGATAGAGAGGGAGAAGGTAGAGACGAGGCGGTCAACAGGGGACATGAGAACATTTTCTAAGCGCCTCGAAATTCCAACTCCAGATGGCAGGGCAGCAGGGTCTTGAGGATGTCAACCGGCCATTTCTCCAGCGCCTCTGGCAGCACCGTGTGACTCGTATACGAGAACGTGTGCGTCGCAATGACTTTGGAGTCACCTGAAAGAACCCCAACGCCCAACCCTGCAGCCTCACCTCCAGATGGCGGGGCAGCAACGTCTCAAGAATCTCAACGGGCCATTTCTCTAGCGCCTCTGGCAGCACGGTGTGGTTGGTGTAGGAGAAGGTGTGCGTGGTGATGTTCCACGCGTACCCCCACTCCAGCCCCTCCTCATCCACCAGCAGGCGCATCAGCTCCACCAGCGCCAGCACGGGGTGAGTGTCGTTCAGCTGCAGGGCCACCTTGTCCTTGAACTGGTCAAACGACGAGTGCTCTTCTTTGTAGCGCCTGACGACATCCTGCATGGTGGTGGACACGAAGGAAGAAGTGACTTTCGGATGAAGATGAGACATTCAGCTGCAGGGCGACCTTGTCCTTGAACTGGTCGAACGACGAGTACTCCTCCTTGTAGCGCCGCACCACGTCCTGCATGGTGGCGGACACGAACAAGTGACCTTTGAGACGAACAAGTGTCCCACTCTACTCTACTCCTGACGACATCCTGCATGGTGGTGGAGACGAACAAGTGCTGCTGCTCTTAGATGCGAGTTACATCTACTCTACTCAACAAGCAGATGAAATGGTTTTGAGGCGCCTCAAAACTCAACAAGCAGATGAAATGGATCGACGGCACTAAGGTTTGCTGTGGACCTGTGGTGCGTTCCAAACCCTTGTAGTACGTGCCTGCATAGTGGCGGAGACGAAGAAGTGCTGCTGCTTGAGGCGCAGCTCCTTGCCCTGGTACGTGCGGTCGTCGGGGTACAGCACGCTGCTGATCGCCTCCGCCTTCTGCTTGCTCAGAATCGCGTTCACGTAGTCGCCCGTGTTGAAGCTTTGCTGGGGGGAGGGGGGGGGGAGAGAGAGGGCGGCCCATGAGAAGGATGGTGAGATGGCAGTAAAAGAAGGGGATGTGGAGAGAGAAGGTGGCAGGAGGATGAAGACGCAGAGATGGCAGGAGCAAGGAGAAACGCCACCCAATGAACCACGCAGAAGACGGTGCAGTTTGAGAGGCACCCGAGTGCATCTTGGTGTCTCGGAACTGAACAGCTTGGTGTTGGACGGCACACACACCATTCGCTGCAGCCCTACCAGGTCAAACTCGCCGCTGGGCTTTGCACCCCAGAGGCGAAGGTTGATGGTGTTGTTGGTGTGGTAGCCGGGGATGGGATTGTCGTACGCCACCGCCTCCACCTGTTGGAGGACAGCGTAGGGAGGGAGAAAGAGGAAAGGGGGGGATCAAGACAGAAGATGAATGAATGAAATGAAATCACATAAAGAAACGGCGTCAGGAGAACCGACAAAAAGGAAGGAAGAAGAAGGAAAGTAAAAAAAAAAAACGAGAGAAGGAGGGAAGGGGCGGGCGGAGGGGAGGGGGGGGAGGGGGAGGGGTAGAAGAGAGAAACGCAGTGCTGACCGTTTCTCCCTCCACCCATCTCTTGCGGGGGTGGCCGCCCTCAGTGTACGACTCGACGCTGCCGTAGAAGCGCACGGGGTACGTCACAAACACGCGCTCGATCTCCCACGGGTTGCCAAAGGTCAGCCAGTAGTCCGGTTGCTCGTGCTGAAAGCCGTCCTGCAGGGTCTGGCGAAACATTGCCGTACTGGTAGCGGATGCCGTAGCTGCAAAGGCGGGGGGGTGATAGTGGAGAGCAGTTTGGTGCAAGGGACATGATGATTTGCATCGAAAGGTCATCCAGCAGCGTCTGGGGAAACATGCTGTACTGGTAGCTGGGGCGGGGAGTGGTGTGGGGGAGTAAGGGGCGGGGAGTGAAGGGAAGGGAGTATGAAAGAAGAAAGGTGGCGAATCGAGGTGGAGCAAAAAAGTGGAAGCGCTGTGTCATGAACAAGGATCATCAAAGCACGCACTGGCCAAAAAAGGTTCTTCAACAGGTGAGTTCCCGATGTTAGCTCTGAAATCATCAAATTGGTTGCTTACCCCCATCCAGGATAGTTGAGAGTGGCCATGCTGTCGAGAACGCATGCTGCCAGACTGTCACAGACAGGACAGGCAAGAAGGAAGCCGTGTTAGGCACGCCTCAAGACACAGAAGCACAAGGAAAGTGACAAGCGAGCTAAATTGGACAGCAGCGAGCACGCTTTACCAGGTGCTGGAGAGAAAAACGCGTCACAACCCCAATGCCAAAATAACAATGTCCACATGACCCGCTTATGTGCTAAAATGCAGCAAAAGGCTAGGCAGCAGCAGCAGCAGCAGCAGCAGCAGCAGCAGCAGGGGACGACTCACCGGCCGAGGCCACCGTTGCCGAGAGCAGCATCCCTCTCCTGCTCCGCCAGGACCTCGAGCTTGTACCCCAGCTGCCCCAGCGCCTCCACGTACTGGTCCTTCATGCCCAGATTGAATATGCTGTTCAGCAGCGAGCGGCCTGCAGGTGACCAGGAGCGATGTGGTGGTCAGGAGAGAGAGTCATGAGTGGCAAGCCATGCAAACAGTGCAGGCTCATCAGAACTGCACACGCTTTCTGGCACACGCGCTTGGATTCCTGGTCCGTGTCGACGTGCTATGATGCCTCGAGGCAAATGCGTGCTGGCATGGTGCCTCGCCCTTGGCGCTTACCCATGAGGAACTCCATGGAGAGGTAGTACACGCGCTTGGAGTCCTGGTCCTTGTCCATATGCTATGATGCCTTGAAAGGAATGCTATGACGCCTTGAAAGGACTGCTATGACGCCTTGAAAGGACTGCTATGACGCCTTGAAAGGACTGCTTGCTGGCATGGTACCGCGCCCTTGGCTCTTACCCATGAGGAACTCCATGGAGAGGTAGTAGACGCGCTTGGAGTCCTGGTCCTTGAAGTACTGCTGCGTGTCGTTCCAGCTCTCGATCAGCCGGTCCCGCACGCTGTATGCCGTCGCCTGGGGACAGGAAGGACAATTGACGAATGTTAACTTGTGCCGCCGCCGTCTTGACATGTCGCCGTCTTGACATGTCGCCGTCGTCCGGACTACCAGGAGACGGAAAGAACGAGGAGGATCCTTCCCAACTTTGTTGAGATTCTGGCTGTATCCTCGCGCTCACCTGGTACGCCTCGAAGTCGTCGAACTGTATCGGCTGCGCGCCATGGTGTACTCCACGTGGTCCACGATGCTCCTCTGGATGGACAGCACGTCGTTCTTGATGTACGTGTCCATCAGGTTGTGCAGCAGCTCCGTACGCCGTTTCATCTCCGGCGAAGCAGACGGGTCCAACGGCGCAACCGGTCGGATGAGTCTCGCCGGCCGGACGGACGAATCTTTCGGCCCGTCGCTCCCCTTGGCATCTAGAACCATCGCTCGCACACGCACTTGCGAATGTTTTCCAGATCGCGTTTGTTGGTGACTTTTTTTCCGTCCATGGCAGTGACGTGAAACGCGTCGGCGACGTTACCGTCATCGTCGAGGTCGACGACTGCCTTCCCGACGTCCAGACCGAGATCGCGAAACGTCAGCGTCAGAAGCTGAAGCAGCCCCGGCCGGTTGGGCGCGCTGACGGTGATGATAGTGTACTGATCGCTGCTCTCGTTGTCCACTGACACATCGGGCTCGCCGGGGAGCTGGGGTTCGCGAGAAGACCTTGCTGAAATCTAACAACAACGAAATCTCGCCGTCCGCGCGAGCTCGAACCTGAGCGCCGCGGCTCTTACGCGAAAATCCATCTCTGTCGTGTTAATTCTCCGACCCGTTGCAGAAGAACGGCGGAGACTAGATGGAACCTTCACCGCGAGCTTCGGATGCGAGATCCCGAGCCCGAGGAAGCTGCTGGCAGCGCGAAGAGCGCCTGCCATGATTACTAAAACAACGCGATGTTAAAGATCTGGATTATCGGCAGAGCCACTTGAATCAAGCGAGTTTCAGCGTCGCCACGGTAATGCTCGCGGCTCGCGGCAGACACCTGAGAGCCGAAGCAGCACAGGCGTCAGTCAGCAGGCTGAAGGTGAAGTATGTGGGGAGGGGAGGGGATTGATGGAGTGTAAGATGGGGAGGGAGGGAGATGAGCAAGATGGGATGTCTGATAGAACGAGAGCTCGGATCGACAAGAGAGGAGGACCTCGAAGTTCTCCCGACTCCCGAGCCAACCTAGAGAATTTCGAAACGTCATAGTGTACAGCACTTCCTTGGGACCTGGTGTTCATTACAATCTCATGACGTTGCACTGGATGAGGCCTGAAACGAGTGCAAAGCGCTGTTGCCGTCAGACAAGTCAGTCAGCCTTTTCTGATTGGATACTTTTCCTCGTGTTTTGGGGCCGCCGTTGACAAAGATCTCATCTGCCCCTCGCCTTCGCCCATCCTCGCTAGAGTATGATTTACAATCCTGCTGGTTGAACCCTTTTCCGTCAAGGAAACATTCCAACCAACTGTGGAAGATAAAGCCGATCCAGAGTACCGCTCGGTATGTGGGTTAGACGAGCCCTACATTTACCATCCTCAACAATCTATGGTTCCTAAAACATTCCGAGACATGTCATCTCTCATACACCACTTTGAGCTTTGATACAAGCACATCCATTGAAGGTCGTGTCTCCCACTTCCCTGCAACCGCATACTTCACCAAGGTTAAGGCCATAAGCGCATCTTTCTTCGTCCACTGCCCAGCCAGTGTTGGATCCAACACTTTCTCAGCTTCGGGCAGGTCAGCCCCCGTGGCAAGGGTCATTCTCAACCCCTCAAAGTTCTTGTCAGTGACCAACATGCCCGACACAAGCTCGAGGAGGAAGATCCCAAATGCGTACGTATCGCATTGGCATTCAAATGACCTGCACCAGACAAAAGGGAGATGGTCAACGAAATAACACAAAACCACCGAGGAAAAGGCAAAGGCAAAAATGTAAACACTGATAGGTGTGTCCTTATTCACCAAGACCACCATGCCACACTACCAAATGGACAACAGTCGCAAAGAACAGGAAAGGAGAATTGCCGGCCTACCGGACTCGAAGTAGACGGGGTCAATGTAGCCTGTGGACCCCATGACTCGCGTGGTGACGTGGCTCTGCCAGTTGTTCACCGTGCGTGCCAACCCAAAGTCTGCCAGCACTGGCGTGAGGTCCTGGTGGACACAGGAGAGAGGGAAGAGTAGATTCTTAAAGCCCGAGTCTAGAATTGTTAAAAACCAACTTTCCTGACCATGAAAACAGTGCCAAAAAAGTTCAGCGAATAAAATTTTCGGCAAGGCACCTCTGGCGAAAAACAGTGCGCAAACAGTGACGAACATTAATGTGATGGTCTCTAGTCGCGAGTCTCCCAAGAAAATGCCTTCAGAATGGTTGCGGGCGTTTCATGTTCAGTATGAGTGAACAGTGCGATCGTGGTTTGTCGTTTTCATCGGCTTCGCAAGCAGCCCGATTTCCCCGAGGGTTGCGACGTGGCGGTCCCTGAACTAGGTCACCTCTACTGTACGAAACAAGTTCAGGAATCCTGAACTTGATAGTGTGCGATTCTAGACTCGGGCTTTAAGGCGCCTACAAAAGTCAGCACTGCAGGCAGGTCCTGGTAGAGAAAGGCAAGGGCGCATGAAGGCGAGAGAGAGAGAGGAGATAAAGAGGAGGATGGGCTGGAAAGGCTTGCACGTGCGGCAACAGGCTGTGCGTGCGTGCCCATACATGCATGCATCAATGCATCTATCCATGCGTCCAAACATGACACGCATTCACAAAGGTGCACACTTCTACAAAAGCACACATGCAGCTGGCACACGCACATGGACACGCGCACACGCCCACGCGCGCGAGCGCGCGCGCACACACACACACACACACACACAAACACGCCCGCGCGCGCGCGCACACACACACACGCACGTATGCACCCCGGCAAGCACAGCCCACACTCAAATCTCTCTGAGCGGCACATTGCACAAGCTCACATCTCTGAGAGCGCACCTCTCGGAGCAACGCACCTCTCTGAGCAGCACGTTGGACGCCTTGAAGTCGCGGTGCACGTAGTCGTGCTGGTGCATCACCTGCAGTGCCTGCGCGCACAGCAGAGCCACCCGCAGCCGCGCCTTCCAGGGAAACTCGGCCTTGCCTTGCACCGCTGGCATTGGAATTGAGGAGAGAGGGGGAGATAGAGGTGAGATTTGAGCAATCAAAAGGTAGACTCAGGTCGACTGTAGCGGCACCCGCAGCTGCACCTTCCAAAGGAACTCCGACTTGCGTTGGACCGCTGGAGATGGAAGGAGGGAGGGGAGGGAAAAGATAGGGACGACAAATAGCACAGGGAATACATTTAGGAAAGAATTCTGCATACGCCCTCCTACATGACATTTCGCTGAGTGCCTCTCATAGTTCTTATGCCCCACAGTGGTCTTGATACAAAGCCAGGAAATACACCCTTGTGGTGCAGGTGATGAACTCATAGATGAGGGCGGGGGTGGGCTTGGACGCGTAGGGAGCGTGTAGGGGTTGGGGTGGGAGAGTGAGTGCAAGGTAACAGAGAGAGAGAGAGAGAGAGAGAGAGAGAGAGAGAGAGAGAGAGAGAGAGAGAGAGAGAGAGAGAGAGAGAGAGAGCGGAGAGAGAGAGAGAGAGAGAGAGAGAGAGAGCGAGAGAGAGAGAGAGAGAGAGAGAGAGAGAGAGAGAGAGAGAGAGAGAGAGAGAGAGAGAGAGAGAGAGAGAGAGAGAGAGAGAGAGAGTACCTTTTCTGAGATACGGCCTCGGCATTGCCGTTGGTGATGAACTCAATAGATGAGGGCAGGGGTGGGCTTGGACATGTAGGGAATGTGGGGGGGTTGGGGTGGGAGTGAGTGAGTGCAACAGAGAGCGTACCTTTTCTAAGATAAGCCTCAGCGTTGCCGTTGGGGATGAACTCGTATATGAGGGCGGGGGTGGGTCCGGACACGTAGCCGTAGAGCGACAGGATGTTGGGTGCGACAGCTGCTCCATTGCCATCAGCTCCGCCTGTGTGGGGGGAGAAGGGGAAAAGGGAGGGGGCCACGGCCGGCGGAAACAGGAAAGGAGGAGGGAGCAGAGCCACAGGATGTTGGGGTGCGACAGCTGCTCCATAGCCATCAGCTCCACCTGTGATTAAGAGGAGAGGATGAAGCAGGGGGATGCGGTTGAGAGGAGAGGAGGAATACGAAAGGGGCCGTAGAGCGTTATGGTGCGACAGCTGCTCCATAGCCATCAGCTCCGTGTGTGGGGAGAGACATGGGCGAAACGTTGTGTAAGGGAGTGTGGAGCGGGGGGGGGTTAAGGGGAGAAGGGGAAGGATGGGCTGAGAGGGTAGCACGAATGGGCACAGGGCGACAGGATGTTGGAGCGCTGGAAACGCTTCATGGAAATTCGCCTGTGGAGGAGGGGGGGGAGAGAGGGGGGTTGGAGGTGGGAGGAGGGGAGGGCTGATAGGGTAACGGAGAGAGGAGGTGGGTTGGTTGGGGAGGGTAAAGCCAGGCATCGGCCTTAACCCGCGCTTACATGGAACTGCTCGTCGTCCTTGAGCTCCACATCCTCGTTATCCAGAACTTTCACCGCCACAGCCACCAGAACCTGTGCCGCCGCACCTTCCGCCCCTCCTTTCCCTTCCCCTTCCGCTTCACTCCCCTCGCCAGCAGCCCCAGCCGGAGCAGCAGCAGCAGCAGCTGCTGCCGCTGCTGCTGTGTCATGCAGGAAGCCCTTGTACACGACTCCGAAGCCCCCTGGCCGATGGGCTTCTTGAGGCGGTCAGTCATGAGCATCATCTCGTCGTATGTGTACTCTGGAAACCCCTGGCCCAAGGGCTTCTTGTCCGGGTAGTGGGACGACTCTGGGAAGTGAAAGGGGAAGTGAAAGGGGCAAGTGAAAGGGGGAAGTGAAAGAGATGGAGGGGAGGGATAGAGGGGAGGGATGGAGTGGGAGGGATGGAGGGGCGATTGGAGGGGGAACAGGAAAGAATATTGGATGGCGAGAATTAAGTGGGTAGACTATGAAGCACCCCAAAAAACAGAAGACGAATGGAAAAGGCAAAAGAGAGTAGCCGTGTAAAGGTGATAGACTATGGAGGGGTGTAGATGACGAGGAGGGGGGAACGCAGGCTGGTGGTGAGAACGACCAGGAGCGGTGGGATCAGAGCGAATGAAAGAGCAGGATGGATCGAGAAGGCAAAACCGAAGGGGGGATGGAGGGGGGGAAGGGAACGGGGAGGGGTTGGCGACGGAAGCAGCATAAACGCAGCCCTGGCATCGCCACATGTGCGAGCGAGCACGTCGCGCGTCACCACACGAGCGGCAGCAGAATAAGCGCAATCCTGACATCATAAAGCCGTGCAGCACGAGTAGCACGTACTGGCATCGCCGCTGGGCTGAGACAAGCACCCCCCCATGTGGAGTGCCGCCTCAAGGCCTTATTATCTGAGAAGCCTCCTCGAAACTACGAGGAATGCCGCCTGGAGGCAGGCCTTCCGGGCCAATTACACGATAAAGCCAGCTCTCCTCCAGAGCAGGAGAAGAGGTTCAGATTGGAGCACGATATCCACGTCAGCTATGGATAGAAAGGTGAGGGCTTTTTCAAAAGGGTTAACTCTGTCCCAGTCGATGCGAACCGACGGGTCGGCTGCGTGTACCACTCCCGAGCACCAGTCCTCATAAAGAGTGAGTCCGCTGCATTTGACCTAGTTTCGGTCACCCAAGTATCAGGGAATTCACGCGCAATGCATGCGGCT